TTCTTTACTGGTGATGCAATATTTCTTTTCTGGTTTGGACAAGCATTTACTGCAATAGGCTATTACTTGCTCTTGACCATCAATCATTTGGGAAAAGACAGCTTCCACACTTTCTTTGCTCGCATCTGTGTATAATACAAATTGCTTGTTTGTCTGGAAATATGCGAGCACGGATGTAGATGTTAATGCTACATTCAACTGATTAAAGGATATTTCGCACTTCTCACGAATTTTTGTTCTCTCTGTTAATTTATGCAGGAGCCTTGTGATGTTGGAGAACCCTATTATGAATCTTCTGTAATAGGTACTAAGTATCAGGAAGCTCCGTAGTTGATGAATATCTACAAGACGTTCCCAGTCCTTAACAACCGCACCTTCTCTGGATCTGTGCAGCAGACATATTCGACACAGATATCATGCCCCAGATAGGTGATTTCACTGCAGAACAACTTCAAAGGACTCAGCTTGTTCGAAACTACGGCCCACAATAATGATGCCGTCTAGTTAGACCAGACAGGATTCATAACTGAACACAGTATTGCATTGAATGCTGGAGATCATGTTGATCTTCTGTTTAGGAAGATGTTTCCTAATTCAGATGTAACAAAGAAATACTGATGTGCTAGGACGAAACTTCTGCAAATTTTAGTGAAAAAGGCATGGTAAGTATTTTGCAAAAAATCTGCCTTCTGTTTATTTGCTGATGGAAGCAATGAAAGTGATTACAAGTTATGTCCAGTTGTTAGAACTTATTTTGTCAAGTCAAAGAATAAAATAAAAAATACTATTTTATGTCTTCCTAATTTAATTGGTGATGCAACTGGTCAGAATGTTTGAGTGATAATTATCAGTAAACTGAGTAATTAAATATTTCCATACAAAGTTTGGTTTCTTTCTGTGCAGATAATACACCTGTTATGACTGGGTATCCCCCCAAATCTATCAGTCTTAATATATTTAGCAGCATAAGAAGCAGCTGCTATTCACATACATAGATTAATACATAGACTAATACACATAGATTAAATTTTAGATGTATTCTAGTGTGTAAAATGTGGTAGGCAAAAAAGAAAAAAAAAAGTGTTTAAAAAGCCTTCTATTAGCTTCATGGAGAACTTGGAAAATAATGACACATAAAGTGGCTGCTCCTTGTTAGAGCACTAAAAAGGCTAATAGAGTAGTGGGATCTACTTCAAAGCTTTTTCTTGCAAAAAAGTTAAATTACATAATGAGTTCAAAACTATTCATAATGACAAGAGAGCATGCTATGATGAACCTGAATAAAGAAATCCTGCAAAAGTAAAATGAAGAAATGTATCTTTTTTTAATCATCATCTGTTCCCGATTTTGAAGAATTAAATATACAGCTACAGTTTGCATGAACAAAGATTCATGTTCTATGTAAAGTTCTTGAGATATTGTTGCATGGACTAGTAAATTTGTCATCTTCAGTAATAACAGAATTGAAAGATATGACAGACATTCCTTATTGTCATTTGGAAAATCAGGAAGATAATTTGATTACTAGAATCTGGACTTATAAACTGCTAAAAAAAGTTACAACATAATAAGAAAAGGAAGATTTCGTAGCAGTTCAATAGTATTTTGAAACTGCTATATTCATTAGCAATTCCCACAGAAATGTGTCTATTACTTCAGGCAGAAATCATGAAATTAAAAGAGAGGATAATTCTTTTCCTAGTAGTGTCTGATATTTTCTCCATAGCTTCTCATTTGATGCATTAGTTGGTTTCATACAAAGTATGTGTACAAACATGTCAGGATTGCTAAATTTCCGAAAGCTATACAGTCAAAAGTCGTTAATCCGGGCTCGTTGGGACTCCGGCGATTCCGGATTATAGATCATCAGTTTAAATCTGGTAAGATGGCATGCAGAAATTATTAAATTTAAAATATGAAACCGTAATTTATGAAATAAAGAACAATTATGATCAAAATTTACAAAAAAAAAAAGCTTAATATTTATTTACTTTATTAAACATTTCTTTCAATGTAAGTTATTTAAGTTGCTTCGTTTTTTATGTGATAATACATTCTCTTTAATTCTATAAAGACATTAATAAATAATTTCTTGTTCAGTTACAAAGTTCCGCTGTTCAAGTCCTATAACTGCTGTGTCGAGAATACAGACTGATTTGTCAATCGAAATTTTTTCATTTTCAATAACCTCTGTCACTTTCTTCGCTATCGGAAGCAAATTATAATGATGAGGAATTTGATTTAAATCATATCAAAGATGGAATACATCGAAATGAAATACTACATTTAGTAAGGAATTATACGCCAAATATCTGCCCTGAAGATAAGGATAGTGCTGACAGATCAACTTCCAATTCATTGCGCACTGCGGCGTTAAAGATAAACAAACATTAAAGTTTAGATAAACAAAGGATATGCCTTTATTTATTTTTTTGCAGCAATTCCACTTTTTGTTTAATGGACTTCGAAACATACTTTCGCTTTGTAGATCCTTTACATATTAGTAAATATATATCAGAAATTCTATTTGACATAATTGAACGTTCAAGCTTACTTTTATAAAATTGCTCTAACAGTCTGCAAAAAAAATAATAAGCCGAAATCCAATTCGAAGATTAAGGAACAACGCAATCTGCAACATTAACTGAATGATAGATAATTTTAGCTTAGCTTATACTGTCCGTTATACCATTAAACGCACATGCGTAAACGTATCATTTGCATGCATAAACGCATGCGTAAATTCATAAACGCATGCGTAAATGTCATTACGCGCATGCACAGAAAGTTTGTAGCTTTTAGGTCCGGATTATAGATCATTCCAGATTATGGGTGTCCAAATTAATGACTTTTGACTGTATTAGCCATAGCTCACAGCAATGTAAGCACATTTTTAGAATTGTTAAAAAAACAAAAATGGCTTGTTCTTTAAATGCAATATAAACTCTTGAGAATACCTTTATTGTAAAATATAAACAGGATAATAAGCATTACAAATCTAAATTTTCCTATTCTTTTTTAGCAAAACCAAAACCAATTACTGGAATATGTTAAAATAAATGTGATTTTTCATTTTCGTTTCCTCATTATATATTTAAATTTTTTCTAGTAAATTTCATGCTTTGAAATTTGCTTTTTTTTTTTTTTTAAAGATTGACAGGGATATCACCAAATGAGCATATTCTTCAAATCAAACTCCTTTAAAATGCACCCAAATTCTTAACGGTATTTTTCTGTTAATTATAATATGGCTTCTAATTTTTTTAATTGTGTTTAATTAACCATGATTGGGGGATAACCATTTATTTTGTGACCATTATTAGTTTCTTTAACTAGCAGTATACAGCATTTTATTAATTTTAAATTAAAATTAATTGATGTATTACATCTATTAAATTCATAAATTTTAAGTAAAATATAACAGAATACACTTCTTTGGTGATAGACAGCTCTTTTAATTAGTTCCTTATGTTTTTAAAAATAAAAATTTTTTAAGGATATTTCATTAGTCTACCTTAAGTTTCCTTTATATGTTTTTTCCCTCTGGCCCTGGCGGCAACATATCAATGCCATTTTATTATAATTCAGAAGAAAGTGTAAATGACAATGCTAAGTAATTTATTGTAAATAATTATTCTTGTATGGTGAACTAGTAAAAGAATGATAATTTAGTACATGTACATAATAATGTTTGTAATCCACCTCTAATTAGAATTTTCTCTTCAAATTGAATTATTAATTATGTTACAAGATGTAACAGTTGCTAATCAGTATTTCCCCCTTCTTATTATTCATCAATCACTTGGCAATTGAAAACACATATACTAAAGTTGGCAGAAGCTGCTAAATATGAAATATACTTAATACCAATATTTTATAACTACTAATAACACACTTCGATTGTGATAGTGAGCAACAAATTACTTAAAGAATTCTTATGCCCGTGAAAAGAAATAATCGGGCGTCTTCACTTTCACTTCTTCACTCTTTTGAAAATTAGTCCCCCTACACTTTTTTTCAATTCTTCAAACATATTGAAACCATTGGTGCCAGCTCAGGAGTGTATGACAGGTGGATAACTAACAGCTCTCAAATAAATCTGTGGGGTGCAGCTTGTGTACTGTTGGCTGTATTGGGCCTAACAGTATTGTAAAAGATTGCACTTCATTAGGAAACTATGATGCCTCTTCATCTAATCTGCTGCAATCATGTAAAGGTACATAAATACCTGGATACACATGGCTCGAAGAAAGTACACTGAATTCAAACCAATGTCAATATTTCCTTCCTTGGTTAGCTAAACATAGGCTGTGCTCACCTCACATGCTACCAATACATTTTGATACAAACTGATCTGCCTGTCCTCTATCAACATTCAATGCAAAAAATCTACAGTGGTGCAGATGCTGTTGACTTGCTCAAACATTAATTTCTGTGTTGTGACATTAGAAGTTTTAAGCATGAAAATACATTCATGAAATAGGTCGGGAAAACAGCTCAGAGTGATTGATGATTTGCCCACTACTATGTGATGGCCAACAATGTTCTAATATGAAAACATACAAATCTTTATGACAAACATTTTGATTAGGAAGGTTACTAATTTAGAAGTCCAACTGAGAAGTTTTAATCAGTTTAGGTCTAAACTGTAGGAAGGTGATTGTATGAAGGATTATTAGAATGTACCTTTTGAAAATTGTATCACTTTCTTTTTTTATTTCCAAGTGCTTTGGACTGTAATAAAGAGAAAAGCCCTGTATGCATTACATATACATTGCTTAAGTTTCTATTCTAGAAATTAAAAACATGCCAGTGTGTGTTCTACTACTCATTTTTGGTACTTTAAACAATTTAAATTACTACTTCAGTGCTTAGAGATGCCTTGTTCACACATGCAAACATATCACCTAATCTTTTCTGCATGATGAGAAAAATTCTAGGTACTGTTAAATATATTTGGAAGTTTTGTGTAATTGTTAATGAAAGATTAAAAAAATATGTATAAGAATACAAAGAAAAAAAGTTTTATTTAATTATTGAGTTTCATTACAAAGGATGGCATACAATTAAAGTTTATACTTATGAAAAATGCTTTAACGAGAAGAACTAGATGTTGAGCGACGTGCATATCTTCGGCGCACAAAAGATCTTGAATTGGACCTTGATCGAGTACGACGACGAGGAGAACGACGACGATATGGTGACCTGAAGGAAGTGGGGAAAATAAGTTACAAGGTGATCATTATGGAACAATGGGCAATATCCAACAGAAGTTCCAAACAAGTTATTAATTAAGAATTAAAGAAATACAATTAACTAAATTAGATATATTCATGTGCCCTCAATTATTATATTGCACTAAAGGATGTATTAATATCATATAGACATCTTTATAAAGAGTATTAGAACTAGAACCATGTTTAAAAAATTATATCCAAACCATTAATTCCTACCCACTCAAAAAAGTTCTTGAATATGAAACTCACTATGAAAGATTTTAATAACACAAGCATAGTGCAGTTTGAAAGTCTCCTTAGGTTGGTTTTCAATACTTGATTTTATTCTGTGGATTCAAAATGTGTGGGTTCCTTTACATTCCTAGCATAGTCTTAAATACTTTTGTTTATTTGCAACAGCTTTTTAAAGGTGATATTTCAAATGATGCATTAACAGCATTTTCAACTACTCAAAATCGAAGTATTTGCATTTAAACATTTCTTCTTCATAACACTCCTGAGATCACTGCCAGGCTGTGAATATTGGGGCTTCTAATCTTATCTTAATAACACTAGCAGACAATGAGAAATAGCTAAAATGCACTAAAGAGCAGTTATGTATCCTTTATTGTTTTCCCAGTAATATGGTGTTTGTGAACCCATATGCAAGCCACTAAATGCCTCATCATAGTGAAAGCAATTATTGTGTTTGTTCAGTGTTTCTACCACCAGCCAATAAAACATTAGGGAGGGGTGCTAAAGCATATCTTGAGAAGACAAGGATGACTGCACATTTTGTATTTTAATAACATATGTAAGCCTTTTGATGAAAAATACCTTACTTTCCTTCACACGTTAAGTACAGTGTAAAGGGATTTCTCAGCCATCTCAGCACTTAATGCTTGAATAAAATTAATGTCAGGAGATTTCTTCCTTTTACCACACACATGAGGTCATATACGAAGGCAACATATGAATTTACAACTTGGAAGCAACCTGCAGTTCTCATGTAAATTAAATATATGTATGCAATATGGTGAACTAAAACTACTCAATGTCCAAAAGAAAGTAATTATGTCATTGCTTTTTATATAGTAAACTAATCAATGTCCAAATGTAATTTGATTCATTTCTTGTTATCTAAGAAACTTCATTACGTTATTCAAAAGCATAAAAAAATAAAATTATTATTGATCCTATCAAACAATTTTGTACAGGAATTACAAATTAGATTTGCTTGTGGATGGCTTACAGGAAGAGGTTGAAGAATTTCTGAATCATTTGTAGTGGTAGGAACTAGACTGGGATGGTTTGTGAGTGGAACACAAAACATGTCACACACCACAAACATTTAATCATACAGAACTTGATACAAGTTAAAAATAATTTAGAAGTTGATTTGACATCCAAATCAATGAAAAATTTATGGCAACTGGAAGTTTTGGGAATTCTAATGACAGTCGCAGCTTTTTTATCTATACACTTTTTTCATTTTAAACCTGTCTATTATTTATGGAACGTAAGAGAAAGGTGATGGAATAAATAAAAGAACGTTTACGACAAAGATCTATATGCTGTATTTACATCCTCACTGCCAGCGGATACTATTCCGCAAAATGAAGATTAAGTAAGGCACAGGAATACATAAGCTCTCAAACATATGCAATTTACTGTCTAGTATAACACTTGATAATATACACAAAACACATTAATTTTACAGACTTTTGAAATCAGGAGGTGCACATAATGAGAAAGTACCTTATAATTCCTTAAACAAACATACATCAAAGTGATAATCAGTTGTGCACTGTAAGTTTTAAGTGATCAAATGTTATAAATGCATAACTGTTAAATGCCCTATTGTTACGAAATGTCCAGGCGCGGTAAGATAGCTTCTCCGCAAAGCAGGGCTGTCAGAAAATGACAAGGGAGCGCAGGGTTGCTACATTTGGTGAAAAAATTAGCACTATGCCATAGATGGATGGAGAACCTTCTGGGACGTATTACTAGTTAAGCATAGAATGTTCTCGAACACAAGGCAAAAGCTATATAAACCCTGCTGGTATGTGGGGAGTCCACCGAGTTGCTAGTCAGCCAGAGGATGCCAAGTCGAGTCAGTGACAGAATGTCACGTAGACTAGTGCCAAGTTGGTTGTCGAGTGCATTGAGAAAGTCTCTTAGTGTATCGCGAGTTAGTGCATTGTTGAGTTTTCATCTTAAGCGTGTGTTCAGCTTCAAGACCGAACGAACTGAGTCGGGAGCTGTACTCTAGTGTATCGTCGAGTGCATTGCCAGTCGCGGTGTGGAGAGCCTCGAGAGTACGTACAGTTCCGAGAACGACCGAACAGAGTCGGGAGCTGTACTATGGTGCTTTGCCTGAAGCTGTATTCACCGCGATAGCCTGAAGACTGTGCCACTGATTGTTCCAGTGTATTTAAAGTAGATCTTCGACAAATGTAAACGTGTTACTGGAGCTGTCTTGAATAATACTGGCTAATAAATTGTGTTTTGATACATCCTCAAGTTTCGTCGTTATTCACTTTAAATCAACAAACCCGTACTGTATGTAAGAAGAAAAATGCAACACAAGCTTATACTATGTACACCATATGTGTGATATAATTATATTATCTCCAAAACAAAAGGCGTACAGTCTTTAGTGTCTACGCACATAAATTATTTTTCAAATGTGGACACCATAGTTAGGATAATGTGTGAAGAACTGATATATGCAGTTGCTGTCAATCAGAAGTGACTTCAAATACACTTTTTGGCAAGGTTCATTTATATATTCATATATACATATACATATAAACACACATCTAATAAGTCAGATTTTTACAAATACACAGAAAGAGATGCGATGGTTTAAAAGTTGTTGATGTATGTTTATTAGTATTAATATAATGAATAAGATTTATATTAATGAATGTATATATAAATGGTTTTTCATCATGCATAGTAATAAATCCATAAATTAAAAATGTTTCAACATGTAGTATTTACAACAAAAATTAAGTTTAAGGATTTATAATCTAAAAAGTATTTCATTCATAACATAAAAATAATAGCATACAAATTTAATGAGTATTCTCATGTGCTATGCTTTCCTTTTTATACACCTTCTATTTTGTTTACACTATGTTGCTGATTATGCAATAAACAATTTAAATGGTATGTAATTAGTAAAAAAGTGAAGCAACATGCATATAAACAGTTTTAAAAGATTATTCACCTTAAAATTAATAAAAAAATTCCATTATAAATCAATGACACTATTTCTAATCAGTACACGAGGAGTCATTTCGCGAACTTTCAGTGATGGAAAATTTGCAAACAAATCATCAAAGTACAAAAACATCATAAAATACGGTCTACTCTGAAATTTTCATGATTATAAATTTAACTAGTATATAAACATTTAAAAAGTTATTTAAACAGTTATAAAAGCACATACAAATACAGCTTCCCCCCCCCGTATTTTTTGATAAAATCGGCTTCCATTTCTATTGTCCACAGCATCAAACTAGTCCTATATCTCCATATAGGAGTCTACTCCGAAATTTAGATGATTATAAATTTAACCAGTATATAAACATTTTAAAAATTATTTAAACAGTTATAAAAACATAGCATACGAATACAGCTTTCCCCCCTGTATTTTTTGATAAAATCGTCTTCCATTTCTATTGTCCACGGCATCAAACTAGTCATCTCCATATAGGAAATTATCCATGATCCTTCAGAAGCAGAACTTTTGCCTGATTGGTTGATCTCTATGCGGAACACAACTGCAAATGAAATATTTTTGGCAACGTTTCAAAATGGTCTGCCTAGACAGGACGTTGTTTCCTCGGTTAGATGGAACATCGCCTCCAGACATTATGGTGTTTTTCTCCAAACCCTCTTGTCTAAACCAAAACAACCAGAACGTTGCTTCTCGGAAATGTCATATTTAACCGCACGTGTTCTGTTAGATGTCACAGCTCCGTAAGTTTTACGAGCACTACAAATCTGCGATAGATCAACATTTTCAAGATCACAGAAAAATTGGAGTACTTAAAAATGGGAAAAGAGTACTTTTTACTGCATCAAGCTATAAGTAGAGAGAAAAAAAGACACCACAAAAATGTGTCATCTTGGATGCACCTTTACATACTGAAAGCAAATTGTGTCACTGAATGTTTGCTTAGGATCAGCATCTCTTTCCATGTTCACTACATTAAAATTGATATAAATAAGGACTTGGAAGGTTTTCATAAAAGTAGCTGTGGCTCTCAAACTTTCCCAAATTTCAGCATATGAGTCTTACTGACATGAAATTTGTCTACACTGGTTAAATACACTTCTTTTAACATTTACCAGAATTTCACTACTATAACTACATATAAAGCTGATTTGAACTCCAATAATTATTATTAATAATCATTTACAAGTCAGCATTAAGTTAATATATAGCTAAAATTTTAATGGCATTATTATGAGAGTATAAAATTGGGAAACACAATAAACTTTTTCAACATACAGGCAGGTCAGTGCTTGCACTGCATGCATAAAAAGCAAAAAAAAAAAAAACTTTCAAACTATGCACTACTTTATTTCAAACATATACTGTCATTATAAACACACAAAAAAAAGAATATGAAAAAATTCTGTAATTCATAAATGCATGGGAAAAAGGTCCTTACATTTTTCTTAAAACTACAAAAATGAACAGCAAATAAAATGCAATGAAATTTGACAATTCACTACTCTACACAGTGATTTTTTTTAATGCCTCTGAAACACAATTCTACAGACTTTAAAAATAGTATTTCGAAACGCTTAAGAATCATGAAAAGAAAACGACCGTGCATTATCCATATCTAAGTAATCTTTAAGGGCTTTAAAACACAAATATCCATTAACATTTGCAGGCTGATAAATTCACTCCAAATCTACACAATGCAAGTTTCAAGTCAAACTTAAACTTCAGAAGACAAATTAACTGAAAATTTCCTTTTTTCCTGCTATACAAAATATTAAAATATCACAGTTAAAAACATAAGGCAGCATACATACCTAACACGCCTTCTTCTATCACCTCCACGAGGCCAGTATTGAGGGGAACGTCTCCATGGTACATATGGGACTCTTCTTGGAGGTGACATTCGTCTCAATGGTGGTGGTCTTGGTTTAAGTAATAATACTGGTGCTACAGTAATTCGCTGGCCATCAATTTGACCTGAAGAATTTAAAAGAACATTGATATAATTCCTGATTCGAAATAAAACAAAATTAACATATTTTGCTAAAGGCTGAGCATTTTAAAATCAATTTTGGAGTCAAGGAATCCTTAAAGGATGTTCAACACTATTTAACACATAAATGTCAAACCTGCCACTTTTAAGATGCACATTTTGTAACACATAATCTCTGCTATTTGAAGAACAGCTGTTACCTCATGCATTTAAATAACACCAATAACTTGATTTATTACTCCATTTTAGATACAACCATTCAGTGCAGAACTTCGAGTATTTGCTCATTTAACCTCTTGACAAAGTAGTCATTTTGCACACAGTATGAGTAAAATGCATTTAATTTCTGCAAAATTAATACACTGTAGGATAGAAATAAATAAAAAAAAGTTTTATAATATTATTATATAAACAGAAAATTAAAAATGTAACATTACCATTCATCGATACATTTTACAAAACACAAAATGCTAGCTTAGCAAATGCACAAAAGTTGTATGTATATTAATGAACTTTGTTTTGTTTTAATTTGAGACTTTTTACTTAAAAATTTAATTTCAGTATTACATTTTTTGAAGCACATTAGAATGTGTAAACTCATGAAACAACATTTATATTTTCAAGATTTCAGTTCTCTTCCAGTGCTTTGAAAATCATTATATAGTTTTTAGGAGGCTTCCTACACAGCACTCGTGAAATATGCCTATGGGAAGGATGATGATTCATAGTGACACAGATGTAATGGTTTATTTTCTGCAAAATCAGTAAGCCCTCAGTTTTCTAAAGAATTATACAAATGAATGTGTGACACTCACTACAGTGGGAATGAGACATGGAAATCAGACTAGGAGAATTAAAGAGCAGAAAATAAAATCAAATTTTATATACAATTTAACAATTTGCAATAAAATTAAATGAAATTAAATAATAAATAAACAATATTAAACAAAGGTGAATCAATTATTTTATTGTTTTATTTTACAACATAAATCAAATACTGTGCAACAATGAGCAGTATCAAAATAAATCAACTCATGAAATTAATCAAAAAATACTGTGCCTAATGTTTCAGGTACAAAAATTGTTAAACGTTAACAATAATGCCTAACAAATAATAAAATGCACCAATTAATGCTAAAGAATGTACTTTCGTCTGACCAGATATATGCACCACATGCAGACAGGTAAAAATCTGACCACTCTTTTACAATGTGGATGGCCAGGAGGGGAGTTTTTTTTCCTTTGACCAAAGATAACTGACTGTTTCCCTGCCATACCCTTTTTCTTCTTGTGCTTTAAATAAAATACTTTTTTTAGATATATTCTTCATGTGTACAATCAGCAAAATTCGTTTCACAACATCTAATAAAAAGTTATTGAAATCAAACTTTAGATTATTTCTTATTTTGGCACATAACATAAACACACTGAAAGCATGACATGTTGTTAATTTGAAAATTATTTTACTATATCTCTGAGCATTAATCAAATCATCATGGACATCATCACAACATACTTCAAAGCTATTTTGATGCTTACTAATACCTAAGCACAAATGAAATTATTTTGTATTTATAAAGAATGATATAAAATCAAATGCTATGGAGACAGCCATGAATGAATTTAGATAACGTTGCTTGTATAAATTATCAAGAATTTTGGCATCAATAATGCACCAAGGGGTTAAACAGCACACTGAATATGAACACCCATCTAATAATAAATTGCTGCTAGGAAGCACTTAAAGAGGTAAGAAGCAATTCTGTCATGGATCAGGAAATAGATGAATTAAGAGTCTGCTTTTGGTGCATATTAATTTCAACTATCGCAATGCGCGCACTTTTTTTATGTACTCCATTATTTGGAAAATTCAAAATGGCAAAACTTTTTTCTATGTTGTGACTGCCTATCTGAAGCTCCAACTATGAGCAAAAGGACAGAAAAGAAATTGTCACATTCTTCGTATTACGAAAACAAGTATGCGACATTCATATGTAATTTCAGACAATTCTGTTCACATGTCAAAAAGGCTGCCTTTGAAAATATGATTATCAGTGATGCTCATTATTGATATTTAATGATGTTCTTTTCTTATACAGAAATTTTGGTTGCTTTGAAAGAGATCATAAGCACTTTTGCATACTTTAATTACTTGAATTATATAACTTTATACACTCGCTTATGGAATTTGCTGTTACTTTCTAAAATTTATCTTTTTAAAAATATTTTTAATAGTAAGTAGTTATAAATCTAACTAATATATGCTGTACAAATAGAACTCTTCACATTTTAGTAGATTTTTTTTTTTAGCTTCTGAAAAAAAGGTATTTGTATAGATTGCTCTAAAAACCAGTATAGTTTTATGCCAATTTAAGGTTTCCTTTTTATCTAATTTTTAGCTCTTAATGAGCATATGAAAAAAAGCTTTGCTACTTAAAATATTAATTGCTTATAAATATTTGCAACTGCAAGAGATTTCCAACAGACTGATTTAAAATCCTGTTTAAAAATCTTCCATCTTGATTTAGTATCATTTTATGAGAGTTAGTATTTGAATACAGCAAAGCACAAGCCTAACGGTAGGGATGCCTTTGTGGAGAACTTTATAAGGGAAAATGAATCATATTCATGTTATGCATGGGGAAAATCTTGAAACTAACCATGCAGCCAGTGTATTCATTCCTCTGAGTTTGAACCTTAGTCAAACTATCAGTATTCAATGGTCTTATTGGCTGCTGTAAGGCCATGAGATAAAGAGGGGAAAATAAATACTGCCAGACTGTTCTGTATGAAATCTAAATTAACAAATTAAAATATTCTCCCAAATTTTGATTTGCTTATGCTAATAATTAATATAGTTATGAAACAATCTTAAAATTTCATTTATTTCATTTTCAGATTATGAAAATTAATATGGTATTAATGAACAATAATTTAGACCAACGATATGAAAAAATACATTGAAATTTTCCTTTACAATATCGCGAGATATTGAAAAAACTTTTGTAGTTTATAAACAAGGAAACACAGAATTAAGCCAAATTATACGCATTAAAAAAGTTATACATTATGATCTCTTCTAGCGGAGATTATGGTAATTATATTTCTAGTTTCAAAAGCGAAGTAGGAAATCTAGTTGCTGAAGCCACAGAACACTAGCAATTCCGCTTTCTTGGAAAATAAACGCCCATGCAGTCTCGCTGTTCCAAGCACATTAAACCGGGACAAACTATGAGTGGTCAGTCAAAAGTGGGCCTAAAATGTAATTTTATGTATTTATGTTACTGACTGGCAAAGAAACTTATTATTCTCTTTTTTTCACTCTTGGATATCCTCGGCAGTGACCGAGTGGTTAAGACACTGTATACTAGTAGTTTGCTGACACAGACTGTTCAAAGAATTTTAAACTACCAGGTTTCAACCACATTGGGGCCTACAATGTAGTTTTATACATTTATTTTACTGAAAGACAAAGAAAGTTATTATCAGCTATTTCTTTTTCCCCCCCTTACTCTTGCATATCCTCAGCAGTGACTGAGTGGACATTAGCCCACGCGGATGCTGAACATTAGTAGAACATTAGTAGTTTGAGCACACACAAATGGTTTGGCTACTTAGGTGTTTTTCTTGTAGTTTCCCAAGGCATATTATAAATATGACTGAGTTTCCCTTAGAAAACCTTCCACGAATGCTTCTCTTCCCTAGGCAGATAGCCCTTGTGTGCTTTGACATGTCGAAATAAAACTTTACATTATGATTTCATGATTTTTATATGCATGCAACCAAAAAAAAAAAAAAAACCTGCTTACAGTTGAATAATTATACCGGGTTTGTACACATTTCTGCACATGGATATTAAGTACTTTTAAGGACCATTAAAAAAAAATTAAGGACCTATGAGCAAATGCGAACAGAATAAATTCAATTAAAATTATTATCTATGCCTGAACTTCACATTTGTGACACCATCCTAAAAATAAAATAGATCCGTAAGTAGGATGCATTATTATTAAACATAAACTAATTTACATAATTATTAATAAGTTTGAAAATAAAATTAACTTTATGAAATTTATCAAGTAGCATTACATATTTTACACTCATAATAGATGGAAATATTTGAAAGAAGGTAAGTGATATTTTATTTACCATTTACGAACAGTTAGCTCTATGTTTATTTAATGTCTCATTTTGCCACATGCTTGCTCAGTCTAGAGGTTTAGTAAATAGCAGGTAGATTTCATGTCACGCAGCACAGGTTGAAATGAGAAGTAAGATCATAATCAGCATGATTCATAACAGAAGACTGAATGTTATCACCGCTGCTACTTGCCTGCAGACCTGCTGATTGGAAAAAACCTAAAAGGCCATATGTAGGCATGGTTGGCAAGTTTGAAAGTTAGTTGGGCTCTGTCTGACACAGTTAGTGTCACCGTTTCATCTAGACTTCCATGGGTTGTAGCCCAATTAATATACTTTAAGGTTCCAATAAGCTACTAAAGCCCCAGAGCTGATAAGCCTTGTTTTATTTTAAGTCTCATTAGATGCAAAAAATAAGTTTTACATGAATTTTTACATTTTTGTGGTTTATCTTACACCACAGTAAGGATTAATGAAATTCAATAACTCGCTTTAATATGCAGAGATGATTTTTAAAGGCGAGCAGTTAGTTACAAATAATTAAATCAGGTAGTTACCCTTAGTCATTATAGATTTACATGACCACTATTAAATTAAAAAAAAAAAAACATTTTCTAAAAAAGCAGTATTAAAAATCACAATTTAATAATTCACAGTTTAAAATGCATGTAATTTATGATATTGATTCTTAAATGGTATTGGGAAAATTCCACATTAAAAGCTACAAAACATGCTTTGTAACAACAACACACAACAAAAGATTTATGCATCTTTTTAATCTGAAGCCTTCCCAAACATTTTGGCTTCATTTATATCAACTTCCTTCTCTTTAAACATCTTTTCT